CCTTATTCCAACCCCTTAGCTGGATGACCAGGAGGATGAGTTTGCCTGGCCTCCACCCACTGACCAATCTGGTATGTGTGGCTCTGAAGGTGCAAATAAGCACCACCCAGCATCGCACAATTGGTCACTGAAGCACGCAAGCCATCACATTACGGTAAGGATAAGCGTTGTTGCACTAGGTGGAAAAGCTAAGGCCGCCTTTCTGGGCGCTTTCCCTCGTAACAGCTGACTATGTGCAGTTCTGCTGCAGGGTCCATGCAGAATTAGCAAGCGATGCGAGGCGAGACGCAACTATTTTGCAATCTCAACGTACGTCCCAGGGGACTGTAGTAGTGGCTTGATCAAGGACGGATGTTATTGAGATCATCATCGGCTTTTAAGAAATGCTAACGACCCGAGGGTCCTTGTTGCTTAGGACTTCAAGGTACGGGCTAGTATACTGTTGTTATACATGTTAGCTGTCACCTTTCACTTGATGCGGAACGCTCTTAAAATGAGGAGAGACATCTCACATTGCGCTAAGACAGTCATCTGTTTCGCTGGAGCCGCAACTTCAGGCATAAGAAAAAGTTCCCAAGACTTGGCGTCCCCTTACACCAACACAAGCGTTGTCTCCAATTGATCAGCTTGTAATCCGCTTCAGATTTTCGAACTTGCCTGGGATTTGAAATGAGTTTGCTCCGCCTCCTCAGATCATGCGCTTGTTTGTGCTAAATTTGCATGTGCTTTTGGGTCCCCAAAGACAAAGAATCGCAAGATTGATGCGATCAGATTAACTGACTTCTCTGTCCAGGCAAGCTATTAGTCTTCATTGGCAGAAGCACCTAGTTGCAATCCATCGCAGGACATTGAGCAACAATATGCTGTTATACATAAAGTAATGATCACTTCCGGATTCTCAAGCTGTGGTCTAGCTCGACGCCCCTTAAAGGCTTTGATTTCTGCTGGAGCTCTGGAGCAGTTCGATCACCGTAGTGATATCAAAGCAGAATCAAAGTACAGTGCAGCCATGCTGCTCTGCCAACCGATAGCTCTTGCAAAGCCTGCGCAAGGATCGCGCGGCTTGCTGGTCTGAAGGTGCTTCGGATATGGAGAGTGCTGCCCTCTGTGGTAACACTCGAAAGCTATGCCAAATCACCAAGTCCATTGGCGTCAGCACGCCTGGTGTCAGTGAGGTTATCTGCAAGGCAAATACGTCTATGGTCACTAACGATTGGATGCGTCTTGACCGAGGGGCCAAGCACTTTCGTTCGTAGTTCAGCTGGCCTCCACCATCTATCCGAGCGCGCCGTACAGTCAGTTGCCCACGCTGGTTTGTCACACTGGATCCATTCAGCGGAGCGGAAGTCTGCCTCGAGATACGATATTTGCAGCGCTTTAAATCCCGGGCTCAGGCGGACTTCCTCCGGTACTGTTTAGGTAAGATGACATGGAAACCATTGACCATCTGACCTCCTTGTTTGCAAACATCTGGCATGAAGATAAAGGGCCTACTTCTTTGGGCGAATTAGTTATTGTCCGGGTTTTCAAAAATGCCGCTCGCATGACATGTATAACCCTTCAAGATTTTATTCTCATTTCTGTTGCATCCAAGCTATTGCCATCTTTTTTCGATTGCCGATAAACTCCACTACATATGTCCGACTACCTTGGGGAACAGGCTGATTTCTCCCTCTTCCACGGACGCGTGGATCAAAGCTTCGCCTTTTGCCAAATCCTCGAACTTCACCACCTTTTTCACAAGCTCGCTATCATAGCACTCCTAGACATACAGGCTGCATTTGACTCGGATGAGCCACTCGCTTTTAGCGTGGCTTGTTAAAGCACATGGAGCCAGAAGAGTATACCGCCAATACCCTACACGCACGTTACTTTTTTTCTCAAGTAGTGGTTCGATGACGAGCTTTCTTTGCCCTTTGCTGGCAATAGTGGTGGGCGACTGGACTGCGCTATGTCCATGTTCCTTTTCAACTTTGCAATCGAAGGCGTCCTATAGAGAGCTCTAGTAGGTTTCTAAAAGTTTGGTCTAGAGCTTCTAGCGGGTGAACACGCGACCGACTTAATCCATATTGATAAGATCACCCTACTTAATGATGGTCCGTACAGTATGCTACGCATTCTGAATCGTTCGGCGGTTGAAGCTTCTAAGTACGGCATGAGCTTCGGCTCAGCGAAGTCTAAACTGCTGCTCCGGGATTGGCCTACACTCGCTTTCGTTTTCACTCTTAAAGGTGCACCACCTGAACAGGTAGATAGTTTCCTTTCTCTTGGGAGACAGCGTTTCTGCCGCAAAGATGTTTTTCTTTCCATCCTTAACTTCCAAACGGCATTTATCAACCTGAAGCATTTGTGGCGTTGTCGAGACATCTTTATCTGAATAAAAGGTCACATTTACTGTGCTTCTGTTCGTTCAGTGTTGTTGTATGGAAGCAAATCTTGGCAGACTCGCGTGGAGGACATACGCCGTCTTTCCACATTCAACAACGGTTGGTTGAGAAGGATTGCTCCTGTGTGGTAGCAACACAGTGCTTACAGTGATGACGCTAGACGTCGCGTGCTTTGGACTGCGAGTCTACCCTTTGAAAACTGGTTTGACTACGTCAGCTGAGATGGCAATTTCACGTCCTACGCATGGCGCTTGGGTATTTGCCACACCGCACTCTATTCGCTCATTCAGGACCTGGTCGGACGCGACCACGTGGTTGTCAGCCTTCCACTAAGCGACAGCACGCGAAATCGAAACGTTCACGCTTAGCCACCTTCTGACCCTTACGTCTTCCTGGATGCGGACCCAAAGATGTGGAGCGCCAGTGGTTTTACACTTTTCAACACATGGCCCGCAACCGGAATGGGTGGAAGAACTGTGAGCAGAAGTGCGCTGACTCATATGTTCAGTGCCTCAACCATTAGTAAGGACAACAAGTGTAACAATCGGCATGCGAAAAATAAAAATTGTTTCGTCCGTGCAGTTTTGAACAACTTATACCTCATTTTGATTCCCGTGCTTTTTGTCGGCTCCATGTCCACCTCATGGACTGCTTCTTCTGGTGAGCAGCTTTTCCTCACATCCGTTGGTTTTGTCCACTTGAGGCGAATCGGTTCGTACATTAAAGCCCTTGTTTATTATTCTGTAATCCTTCGAAGGCGGGACAAATGCTGAATTTTTATTAAAACGTTTAGTTACAAGACGACCTGTTATTTCTCGATTGTAACAGGCTGATAGGATTATTTGTTAATTTGGTTTAAAACCGATGTTTCTTCCGTTAACTGTCGTCCACAAACCACGTTTACATGGTCTGCTGATACCCTACCTGTTGTGTACTAAATGTCAAATGCACCAGCCGAAGTAAGAAGGTCGCTGCGGTAAACCAACTACTGTAATCTGATATGTGTCTAACTACGTGAATACAATAAGGTGTCGCAAGTAGAAAGATGAACCAATAGGGAAGCAGAAAATTAGAGGCTTTGTGTGTGTGTGTGTGTGTTTTGGGGTTGTGTACAGGTGTCTGTTTAGACTAGCCGTTAAGCATGCTGACAGAATACACAACACTACCTCTGCTGCAGCACAACCTAACGTTATTCCTCCTTGGCTTGGAACGGATATCGCATTGCCAATGTCACCTCAGGCCAGTCGTTTCCAAGCTCATGTGACCGCGGTTGGTGGCTTTCTTTACTGTGTAACAAGCCAAAGTATCAAATAGTGGATGTTCTCACAGACCTCTTACTTCCCAACGTCCAACCACCACCGCACTTTTGCGAGATAGTGCAACTTATTTATCGGACACCCAAATGTTGCAAACAGAACACAATGGTAGAAATCTTTGTGGAAATTCGGAGTTACATAACCAATAATCCATTTTTGATGAGGGTTCCTTTGAATTACATGAGTGTACATAAAGTAACTGAAATACTGGGGTATGGAGCAAATATCCTTTGATCAACGAAAGACTGCAATTTTCCCGAAACTTATGGCATCACATGGATCATTCAGTATGGACCTTCATTATTGAAGTTATGATCTTTCAACAATAGATGACTAATGAGGGATGTAGGTTTGACATGTCTCGTGCAACGGGCAAAGCATCATGTCTTTCCAGTGCACTGTTAATCACCCTACTATCAATCGCATATTCAATTACGTTAGATTGACCGAACCCGACGAATCCTAACTCGTTCATTTACCTCGTCGATTGAATTGACAAAAAAGCATAGAACAGAATAGGACTACATGCAACCACTAACAGCATAAAGAACAAAGGTTACTTTACCTCATTACTGCACCGTGACGAAAGGCAACAACCGTACCCATTCATTAGGAAGTCCTGAAAAATTACCTGATATAAGTAGAAAATAGCTGTTAATATCCTTGGACTCAAGCTCACCTTAACTCCACGCCCGACCAACATGAACACCTGGAAACAAAGAGCCTCGAGGTAGCCACTAGATCATGTTCGGAGTACCAACCTAGCTGTCGGAGTATCTGAAGTCCAATAATTGGATTCAATTGTACATCTGTTGCAAAAATTTCCTCAATGCGCCTTCTATAGCCGGAATGCTACCAGCATTTGATGTTAGTCGGAATCGGTAAGCTGAATGAAATCACAATCAAAATCGCAAGCACTACGTGGTCGCAAAATATCGGCATCAACTAAGTGGAGTTAACTCTTTGTGCTAAGACCGGGACCGAGTCGGCCTTGCAGGCCAACATACCCGAGGCTTCGGAGTTAGTTCAAATTATCTCATCCGACAACGTACTAACGCTGGCGTATCCACCGACGTTAGCGTGTCGTCGTCACAGCACCAACATTCATTTGAGGTAAACGTCCTGAAGTGAGTAAAGTTTCGCCTCTACCCTGCCCATAAAGTGTTGCCAAAGCCTAACTCACTGAATTCATTGCGCTGATAACCACTCTGTTTCTGTGTTGTATTCTTGGGTACTACGTTACCACAAATCAGGGTACAGCTGAATTAGTACACCAAATTGTATTGTTTCTATACAGATCATTGACGAAACGGAATCATCGGTGAAAAATTTTGAAGACTACACACAAATGAGTGGAGCGGATCTTCTGATATCCGGGATAGCTGACTGGCCAACCGAGAAAGAACGGATTGATGTGGAGGCTGGCTTTTTATACTATGCAACGAATACTGAAGGTAGGCTATGCAGTAACGGATTGCATGGAATTGTACGAATTCCCCCATTTCCCATGCTTATATACCCCGAAGAGAAGACAGTCGGTAATCGCAACTATCCTGGGTGAGTCATTTTGAATCACCTGTGGTGTTGTGTGTGTGCGAATGGATTGTGGCGTGAGAGCTCAATTAGGAATTCGATCCACTTGAAAATGACCTTAAGTCGCGTCAATCATTGGGACTGCAACTAAAGCAGTTGTGGCTTTCTCTCGCTCGCAAAGCACTGCACCCCACACACCGGTTTCATGTTTACTTGCACTGGTCAGGTGGAGAATGCAGGACTGCGACTCGGGATGTTAGCCGAAGCCTCTACCCCCAACGCTTGGGGACCGGTGTGCTAAGTCCTGCCTACCGCTACTCGGTGGGGCCTGATGCATGCAAAGGAGCACGAAAGCGGCAGTGGAACGCAGTTTTGCTTGGGGGTAACACAACATTCACAAATATTCTGCTTCACTTCTAAAATAGTGAGATGATGGGAGCCATGGAGATGTTATTATCCATGTAAGGATAGGGGACAAAGTAGAACCAAGCGGATAGATATATAACCAAACGGATAAACAGGCAGAAGACGGATTCAAACTGTGTACCCTACAAAAAGGCTTCTCACGAAACGCACACATCGACATACTTATTTGAATCACCCCTTCATACACATGAATAAAGACATACTTAATAAAATGATCACTTTAGTGATGGTCTCTATGTTGCTCGGGTTTCTTCGAAATTTAAAAAGCACCTAACCTTTTCTAGCAATGAGATCAGACCAATTCCGTGTAACACAATTCCATTATTAGCTCCACTTCAGCTCAAGACAGGTGGACGTGCTCCACGTTACCCAGATGACGAAGGTTTGTATGTTGGCCGACCGCCATTAGTGGTGCCTTCAAACCTGAGGCGAATGGAAAATCGTATCATTCAACAGGCCACTTTGGACGCTTTTAAGATCACAGCACTAACTGAACAGCCAAAGGCGGTTGCTGAGTTGATTGACGCACGGGGGGATGACGAGACGGAGCGCATTAGATCTGAGCTACTTCAGGTAAGAACATTTTCCTTTCACCGATGTTCATAAAATTAGTCGACTACCATTAGCTCTGGACTTAAACAACAAGCATTTGCTCCAACTACTAACAACCTCTGATTCATTTCCGTTGATTTCTATCTAAGCAGATCCACTGACGATACCTGACCACCTCTGAGGGCGTACGACTGGAAACGGTTACTCCGTGGAGGCCAGTGGGAACAGGGTCCGTACCGAATGTTTAGCTCAGGGAACTATCATAAACAAGCTTTTACCAACGTTTTAGGCTGTTTGGACCCATGGTGTTTAACGAATACGTAGTATTTGAGGTGCAGAGTGCACTTCGCAATGATGTATGGAAGGAAAACCGTAGCGTTTGATCGAGCCACCAACAGCTAGCAATGGGCGCATGATGTATAACCCTTGGCCGTGGTTGCCTTCCGTTTACATCATGGTAGCTGTTTGATCGAATCAAACCGATCTCTCCACATTACCTGTTAGCCATTTGACGTGGCATGTTAAGCGGAATGGTTAGCATTGGGCTGTTCACTTAACACATCCACGAGTCATTGTCCTGTCCTATTCTTGTACGAAGGGAAATGCTTAAAGTGTCACCCACCACTTGTGAGAACTCGCCCATAACATTAGAGAGTTCGGAAAATGCCACAACGACCGTATTTGATCACAGGAGCACGTGAAATGTCTGTTTAAGTAGACACAGCTACATGGACTTTGCCTGAGTTATCTCGAATCGCCATAATGTAAGAGGCAAAAGAACATCGCAACCATCTCATGAGTATAGGATTTTATTTGTTTAAATGTCACCGTGGCCTGCATACCAAGTAGCCTGATTAATTTTTAAAAGATAATAAAACATGATCCAGGTGAGCAGAAAGCAACCTACCTGTGCACAATATGCAGTAAAGTGATAAACTATGCGGAATGAAGCTCAGTGCATTTAATTCTAAAGGTACCCATGTACGGGGAACATCTGACAGCGTTTTCATCATCAATTTGGAAAAGGCAGTGCTATCCAGATTGAAGCTGGGAGTTAACCTGCTTGGTTTTAAGGTGAGTGATTACATAAGGTCCATCGTACGGGCAGCAACGATGCGGCAAGACGGAAAAACACGAAGACAGGCGCGCCAGTGCCTTACAGAAACTGTCAAGGTAGCCTGATAGCAGCTACTGCACAATCTACATATAGCTTGACGTTTGGTTCCTTCCATTGGTTCCATTGGCCTGCCAAACAACCTCCTCGTGGTGCCAGCTGGGTGGTCCGGGATTATCTCGGTCCAGCGAATGGTTCGACGGCAGTGTTCCAGTAGGTCGTGGGTTTTCGCCTGGCAAGTCTTCTCCCTATAAAAAGCCACATGTGTCCGTTTGACAACACTGCGACGTGACGGATGTGACTCGCCACTAAATAAAGTCACTGCCCCTTGTTTCACCTTGGTGAAGCAGTGTATCCCAGTACTTTGCTGCTCTAATCGTGGGGAAGATTGGGCCCCTGTTTGGCTACTCACCAAACGAAAGGCGTATGAACCGAGCAATCAGTAACCGGCTCCCAATGGGAGCGAATCCCTGACTTCGCTCCGCGGCCTTGAGAGTAGGCTATTGAGCCAAAGACGCAGGGTGGAGTCCCCTAAGACAACTCCCTACTTCGGCTTGGGCAACCGGGTAGTATCGTGCTCTCTGTGAAATCCATAGTTTTCGCAACCATTACTACTACGTCGCTTACTTCTGCTGCTACTTTCCTTGCTACTCGTGCTACTCTATCACAAGCCAACTTTTGTTGATAATCTACAACCTGTTGTATCTACTTCCAATGCCCGTCTCGCTGAAATCCAAATCATCCGGAATTCAGCTATCCTTTGATCCCTTACTTCATTCCATCTAGCAACGTTCAACAGGCTGGCCTGGCGCGCACTCTAGAGTCCTTCGCCATCGATGTTTGTTGCCTTTCAGAGACTCGATTACGGGATCCCAGTACTGTGGTTTATTTTTCGTCCCCTGCTGCTCTTGAGACCACATATTACCTACGTCTGTCTATTGACATGGAGGCAGCAGCAGCCGGCTTAGCTGCTGTCGATATCGCATTGAGTGACAAAGCGGAGGCTGCATTACTCGACTGGTTCCCAATCGACAACCGACTGTGTGCGGTTCGTCTTCAAGACTCATGTAGAATCAAAAGACACCGTGAAGAGAGGCGCAATTTGTTTGTCCTTTCTGCATACACTCCAACCGACTTCAGCTGTACTTCGGTTAAGGATGACTGCTATCATGATCTCCACAACCTTTTGAACAAGGCCGAAAAGTCAGATGTCATCAACCTTGCCGGAGATTTCAATGCACGAGTAGATAGCCTGCTTCCGTGCGAACGTCTTCTTGGTAGTAGTCACGCGCTTGATGAGAGCCGTTCTGACAACGATGATAGACTTCTTACGTTATGCGAAGACCACCGTCTGTTTTTGGCAAGTACGAACTTTAGGCATACCAAAAGACGCGCAGCCATCTGGATTCCTCCTTCACCAATGCTAGCGTGGTCAAAAATGCGAGGCAGCGTCCGGGTTGTAGTTCGATTTGGTCTACGTACCTCGATTCAGATCACGCTTTGATCTGCGCGGACATCTGCACGCGCTTCGGCGGCTCCTCAAAACGAAAGCTCCAGACGCTCGACACTAACAAGTTAGCTGACCTCTCTACTCAATCAAGTTATCAGGCTTGCTTGTCGCATGCATTCATTGGTGCTCCACCTCGAGACATCAAAAATCATTGGAGTTTCCTGCGTAAAGCGATGCTAACTTTTAGTCATTCAACCGGCGGAATCACAAAGCACTCTCTGAGCGACTGCATTTCCGCACACACACTGGAATTATTTGATCGTAGTAGAGCTATCCCGGCCGACTCCAATAGCAGTGCATTGCGTTGCATTCTCAGCCAACAACTTAAGCAAAGCCTGCGTGCTGATCGAGAAACTTGGTGGTCCCAGCGCGCCTCAGAGATGGAAACCGCAGCCCTCTCTGGAAACTTTTGCAAGCTCTTCCAGGTCATTCTGGCCACTGGTCAGAAAAGACCTGGTGTCAGTTAAGCCACTTGCGAGGTTGACGGAACGCCGATAAGCATGCTACAGAGGCGTATGGACCGCCTTGCTGAGTACTTCCGCACTCAATTCAGCTGGCCTCCTCCGCCGGCGAGCCTATTGAGTACACATAGTTGCGCGTCTTGACACGTCTCGTTGGAACCACCCACTGGGGCTGAGGTCTGCGTTGAGCTCCGACCCTTGAAGCCATTCAAGTCTGCTGGCCCAGACGGACTTCCTCTAGAGCTATTCAAGTATGGGGCGAAGTAATTGTTAGGCAGCTAACAACTCTGTTCTCTAAGACCTGGTGGGAAGAAACGGTTCCATCCGCTTGGAGCGAGTCAATTATTGTCCCGATCATCAAGAATGGTGCCCGTACCCGATGAATGAGTCTAATGTCTGTTGCCGCCAAGCTGTTAACATCTATTCTACTCTGCAAACTAACCCCGATTCGTGAATTGCGCTCCCGTGAAGAACAGGCTGGTTTCCGCCCCGGTCGAGAGTGGATAGACCACTTGTCTACATTCCGCCAACGCCCCGAAACGCGTTAGCTTTACCGCCAGCCCACTATCGTTGTTTTTCTGGACATCCGAGCCGCTTTCAAACCCGTCGATCGGCCAGTTTTATGGCCGACTCCATTCCCCAAGGAATGGAGTCTCCGGAAGGTATATCGCCATCCTTCGAGCATTATATTGCAATGTCGCAGGTAAAGTGAGGGCTTATGGTAAGCTCTCTTCATCTTTTGCCGTCACTAGCGATGTACTACATGGTTGTCCCATATCCCCGTTTCTCTTCAATTTTGCGATCAAAGATGCCCTTTTAAACACTGTCGAGGGCTTTCAGGGTTCTCGTGTAAAGCTTCGTCCTGGCAACCGCGCGACCGATTTAGGTTATGCTGATGATATTGCCTTGCTTGATGATGGCGCACAGAGCATACAAGCCGTTCTAAACCGCCTGGCGATTGAAGTATCAAAATATGGAATGACCTTTGCCCCTACGAAATGCAAAGTCCTGGTCATGGATTGGCTTCCACCTGCCCCCGTGCTCACTTTTCAATGTACGCAGCTTGAAAAATGGACCACTTCGTTCACCTAGGAACTTGTGTTTTTGCTAATGGTAGCATTGGAAAAGTGATTTCCCTTCGCATTGCCATAGCCTGTTTGGAATTCACCAACTTGAGGCATCTGTAACGGTGCCGTGACGTTTCACTATTCGTAAAGGGCAGTGTCTAAAATGTGTGTGTTCGCGCGGTGCTGCTGTATGGGACTGCGTACTGTCCGATATGTGTGAATGTGTTGAGTCGGATTTCGGCCTCTGACTATGGAGGTCTGCGGAGAATAGCTCGAGTGTGGTAGATGAACCACGTGCGCAACGATGATGTTAGACCTCGAGTCTAGGGTAACACGCAACTTCAGCTTGACAGACTGGTACCGTTGCACCAAATGAGATGGCTGGGCCACGTTTTACACACGCCATACGAAAGGCTGCCCCGACGCGATCTCTTCGCTCGTAAAGGATCAGGCTGGAAGAAATCGCGCGGTGGTCAGCTTATCACGTGGCGATAAACGATTAAAGCGGTGAATTCCAGTTTAGATCTCCTAAGTCCGCTGCATCTTCTGGGCTGGGGGACCAAATATGAAGAACACCGCTGGCTGGAAACCCTTTCGGAAATGGCGAAGTATCGGGCCCAATGGAAAATGTATACAAATGCTTATCGTGATTTGCTTGCTTTACATCGCAAACGTTACACAGACGAAAAAGGATAACACGGCGTGTGCAAAAGCCTCGACAAGATACAAAAACAAGCAAAAAACATTTTTGCAACTTTCATTCTTTTCTTTGTGGTCGCTGTATTTAATACTTCTGTTTCATGGTTTTCGCTAGCTCATTGTCTATGGATATATATATATATATATATATATATATATATATATATATATATATATATATATATATATATATATATATATATATATAGAAGTTCATGTAGGCAATAATGAAACAATATAGCAAACCCACCACCTGAAATAAAGTGACCCAGCATGCAAGCAAGCGGTTAGCAAATCGAATGCAGCGTACCCACAAACGCTGCGCTTGTTCCGCCTACGTTCTCTGCAGGACCCATCGTCTCTTTGATGTTGGCCCCGAATAGCCTCGTTCACTCACTCGTTCACTAGACCTGCCTGACTCAGGCACTCGCGACCGCAGGTGCTACAGCACCATGCGCTCGATGTCGATGGAGCACAACCCATCGGCGTTTGCCGCTTCCGCACTTGTCGCTTCTTCTCCACGTGCCTGTCTTTCTCCTGCATATCGGCAACTGCCTTCGAGATCAGATCGCGCCATGCACGCCAATCAACTGTCTTCGATTCCCATGACCTACAATCAAGATTAGAACGTAAGAGGCTCACTTTGAGCATGTCCTGGTAACAAAGCTCCGGTTTCCCCACATGCCGCTTCCCAACCCTCAGCTGACCATACAACAGCTGCTTCGGCATCCGCGTCGAATCAATACTGCTCACATGATCGAGCCACCTCAGGTGTCTCAGCAAAAGTATGCAGTCCACTGCATACGTTTCACTTCAGCGCAACACATCCGTGTTCGCAACTCGTTCACACCAACCGATGCGCAGAATCGGTAGCAAACATTATTGATGGAACCGCTCGAGATATCGCACACCTCGCCGGTACATCGTCCAGGTTTCACTGCCGTATAGAAGAACGGACAACACCAAGGATTTGTAGACCATCAGCTTTGTGCCAATGGTAAGCTGATGGTTGTTCCACACTCGGTACTGTAGCTTCCCGAATGCCGCTGCTGCCTTTGACATGCGGATACGCAGCTCACTGTGCAGCTGCTGATCAGTCGACATCAAACTCCCAAGGTAGCAGAAGCGGGAGGTGGTTTCTAATACTTCAGCACCAATGCTGATTTGCGGCAATATCAAACATTGCACCTCCGGTGAATGCTGAAAGAGACAATCAGTCTTGCTTGAGCTGATGGTAAGCCCGAATTTGGCCGCTGTCGAAGCAAGAGCACTAGTCATGTGCTGCAACTCGTCCGCGCTGTGTGCAAACAACGCAGTCGTCAGCAAACAGCAACATACGGATAGTTGTCCCACAGACTAGAGTTCTTGCACCGAAACGACGGATGTTCAGCAACTTACCATCAATACGGTGTTCCACACGAACCCCGTAAGCACAAGCGGCATCAAAACCACAAGACATCATTGCATGAGCATTATTTGGGCAATCGCCTAGCCCACACAACTCAGCAACTTGATGCCATGATAATTCATACAACATTGCTTGATCCCTTTGTCCTTGTACAGTGGTAGCAGAAAGGCATCCTTCAGCTTAGCAGGCACCTTCTCCTCCATCTATACGCGTTGGACTAACTGGTGTAGCACATTCACCAACGCGGGTCCGCCGTGTTTCAATACTTTAGAGGGCATCCCGCCGGCACCGACACACTTGCCGTTTCGCAGCTGAGCAAGCGCTGTCTGTGTCTCATACGGTGTCGGCGTGTCCGCCAGACTCGCCTTCACATGGTGCTGCTTGAGGCCGTTAAATGTACGCCTGTCGATCACTGAATGTTTGTTCAAGAGATAGTCAAAGTGCTTCCGCCAGATCTGCATTATGTCTGCAGTCCGTATACAGATAGAGCTTGAACTATCATGGATCTGCGTCCTCAGCTGCGCCAACCTCGGTCCATACACCGCTCTCAGTGTCAAGGAATTCCTTGTGTTGGCGACGTTCGGCGTCGCATCCAATCTGCTTCGCCTTCTCCGTCCACCATGCATTTTTATGCGACTGAGCTCTCAGGTCAGCCGCCGTCGAAGTTTGCGAAACTGACTGTTCTTCCCCAAGTCACTGGGGTCTAACACATGTGCAGCTAATGCTGCATTCTTCTCACACACCAATGCGCCAATCGTCGCATTGTTCTCATCAAACCAATCAGGCCGCTTACAGTTTACGAGCTCGATGGTCTCCTCGGCAGCAGTTGTCACCTTGTCGCGAATGTGGTGCCACAGCTCGACCCCTGTGGCTATGCATTCCACATCACCCAGGCATGCAGCCATCGCCTTCTCCAGCTCAATATGCTTCGCCACAGTACCGAGGGAGAGAATGTTAAATTTACGCCGATTCACGGGGGGAGTGCAATACATAGATTTACGAAAATATATGTACAGTTTGGTCCTCACCAAATTGTGATCAGTGCCACACTCAGCTCCACGCAGTACACTTGTCATGCGCACTTCACGCATATCACGCTGACGTACGATGACATAGTCGAGCAGGTGAGCGTGACCACTCCGTGGGTGCGTCCAAGTTGCTATATCACTCGCACTCAGTGCAAACCGAGGGTTCGTGATCGTCAGGCCGTGAGTGGCACACAGTGCGAGCAGCCTGTCACCGTTCGCAGTCGCTGAACCAATGGTTTGTGAACCGATAACATCTGCCCACACCGATGCATCACACCCAACGAGCGCGTTGAAATCACCCAGCAGAAGTAGTCGGTCGCTCCTCGGCACAGACCGGATCATGGAGGATAGCTCAGTGTAGAATTGACCACGCGTGTCATCAGGATAACACATGTTCGGAAAGTACGTGCTTATAAAGGTTACAAACTTACCACTTCCGAGTCGTAGGCGAACAATCAGTCGCGCGCTGATGCCTGTTGGTTCACCCATCAGCTAGCCATTTAGGCAATCGGATATTGCAAATCCGACCCCATGGTCACGTGGTACTAAAGCGAGGTTCCCACCCAGTAGAATGTGTAGCCAGCTCCAGTTTCATGCAACGTACCTTGCTCAGCGAGCCGGGTTTCACTGTAACGCGCCAGTTTCATCGCTACGAGCGCACTGCGTCGCTCGGGGCGCTCACTCGAGTTCCTGTCCAGTAGTGTGCGCAGGTTCCAGCACCCGATGATGATTGCTTTGTGCGCAAATGTAGGATTGCATTGAAGGGTAATAGCACGCGAGGTGGCGGATGTGTTTCAGAGGTTTGCTTGAGGGACTCCACCCGGAGCATTTGGATCAATAGGCAGACCCACAAGGCAGTGTGGAGCAAATCCAGCTCGGTAATGTGATTGTAGAGAGAGAATGGGATCCGTGTGACGGCCGTCACACGCAGCCTTTGAGGTACTGGAACGATTCATATATGTTTTGCGACTGTAGTAAGATACACCTGCGACCACAGCCAGACGCAGGTGGGTTTTGGCGGGTTTACACCAATTGGACCAGGGACTGCCTGGCTTGAGGTGGGCAGTAACAAACCATTGAACATCCGGAGGTGCCCTCCCACCGTCAGAGACAATGTGTGGCGCTCGTGCTCTACGCCAATTGAGTTGTGTTCTTATAACTCGTAGACCTGTTGTCTCCCATGGCTAGGTTTTACGGAAGAGGGCCAACGACCACTTCCTAACCTCTGAAGAGGATGGACTAGGATACTGGCAGGGCGCCCACACCAGACAGGAGAACGACTCGGGTCCTCAGCCAAAGCCTTCGATTAAATGTACACCCGAAAGGCAGCGGGTTTAGCACATGGTCAGTTCACTGACTCATGCGGATTGGTGTCCTGAATCTCAGGAGAGAGAAGGGCGTAACCCAACTCCCACCCAGCGGTCGCCACGGTTAGGCGTCCAGGACATGAGCCCATGGCACAGGATCTAGCCACCACCAGCCTCAGCGCACCATAGGCTCTCCCTCCATATATATATATATATATATATATATATATATATATATATATATATATATATACATTAATTCTCGGAAATCCAAGGCAGCTCTTCTAAATTTTACGGGTCCCGAACCCGAGACTATTCTAATGGTAATTAACGGCTCAAGTCGTTGAGCAATGGGCGACGGTGGTGTCTCGTGTTGGCTATTTACTAGCTGCGATCTAACGCGGTTCCCTCTCCACTGTCACTCAGGTTACAGATGTGTGAAGGACAAGGATTGCCACTTAGCCTGCCTCTGTCCTCTAAACTGTTGCCAATCCAATAGCGGTATAAGCTTGCAGGATCGATTACTTAAAGGCGTCATTTCCTCATGTTACGTTCCAATAGAGAGCTGGACGGCCAAACGTTTTCGGAAGCGCCCAGTGGTGCTGTTAGCGAAATTATGATTAGGATAAAAACACACGTACCTGGTGGTATGCGAATAAGTTGTGGGTAATGATCTGTCCTATTATCCACTGGGCAGTTGCACCTGTGCGTGCAGTGTCAATACATACGCTAGCGCTCCCCAATTCTCTTTAACAAACAGCAACCCACTTTTTCTGGTTGTATTGCATTAAATAGATTCTATGACGATTCCTTCTATTGATTTTTGCTAGGATTTCGTATCTTTTCCAGTTTAACGTCTATTTTGCATAAACTTCTAGGCGTGGTTCGGTGAAGATGGTAAACTGAAACTACTGCCAAACCCAATTCGAGCGGTTCCAAATCGATATCCTAGATGGGACGATCAACTCAACCCAAAACCGTCTGCTTTCCAGACGGACTTTATTCCGGTAAGTTACCTTGTTCTGACAACAACCACTATCGTCTACTTATCGTATTTAGAGGAAAAAGCCAGTGTTCGTAGCAATTTCGACCTTGCCCAACAGTATACATATGGTTCCGCATCTCATCATAAATATTGGTCATCATGTTTCCGATGAAGCTCAAAAATCATTTGACATACTATCAATAGGGATTTTGTGCAGTGATATCCAAAGACGGTTACCCACCAAGTCAGAGGTATCCAAAATGAATAGCGTTCTATTTAAGTAGCAGCGTTTTCATTTCAACTAATGCGAAGATTCTACCACTAAGTGGTTCAATCAGCTGAAATAACAGTTAAAAGGGAATTACTTCCCACTTATCGTGATGACCAAAGCTCAGCATTAGGATTGAAGCATTTCCTTGACAACTCAATAGCTGTACGCTTGTACCTTAATGCTTACTGCGCTGCGAAATGAGGACTCTACAAACGCACCAGTGGATAGGCTCGGAAGTCTATGGTATTATGCGACGGAAGCACCATGAGTTGTGTTCCCTCCGGTAAACAAAGCCTTGCAGAATATGGAGGGACCAGCGAAGGCTACGTTTGCGTGATATCTAGCTGTTTATAGCTCATGTTTTTGACTCGGAACTTTTGCTTAGGTCCTCTAGGTTTTAAAATAGCACTCCATTCTTCCCCATCTACTGCTTCTCACTCGCCATGTCATCGTAATTGTACTGCAGCGAAGAATCAGTCCAAAGTGCTGATGCACTGCTGCTGCTGAAAAGGGTGATGTATCCCGGGTGAACGAATCTGATTAACCTGCTCTCGGCTGACGACGTTACTGTCATGATGAGAGCAGGGAACGCGCAATGTTCACGATTCCCGAAAAGATGAACCGACTGTTCATTGCATTTCTGGACGTGTACTGGCTGTCTGACTACCGTACGTTTGATAAGAGTCTTTCGATTTTGCTCAGTCACACAGGGTGAGATTGGAGCGCACTAATTTGCTGACCCACCAATGGCATGTAAGTCTACTGTATTTACTCACCCACACATGTCTGGGGGTGTGAATACGACGTGAGGACGCATTGCGGTGCATGTGTCCTTGAAATATGTTAATTACCCTCGGCGATTTTGACACCGGTCAGTTCAGATTGGGTCGCTGCCGCCGTTTTTGGCTGGTGGTTTGCAACATCTGGACAGCAGTGCATAATGCACTGGCTACCGTGTTCAAATGTTGGTGGCGCTTCGACAGTTGCTTAATGTTATCCCAGCAAATGATAAAAGGGTTAGTGACAACGCTGTTGTAGACTGAATGTTACCTTCACATAAATCACCTTAGCAAAATAAGCATTAGTAACAATTAGACGGTGAAAATATGAGATGTTACTTCTGCATAAATGAGTCCGGAAAAGCTGTCGTTGACAGACTACTCCCGTCACAGTCTTGATAGCAATTGCAGGAACCAAGTGGGGTGCACGCTGTCTAATTTGTTTATCAGTGGCCGTGACGGTGTAACATGAAAGGCTGACAGTGTCGCTCAGTCTCTCAGGAAAACGTAGGTATAAATCAAACGAAATGATGGTTACATGCTGCCGTGTATGCCAATTAAGAGACCACTCGCTGCACGTGTTTGTGGAGAAGGACTGTTGATGTTTGTCTGCTCCCGTGTGGCGTTGTAGTTGCTGGAAATGCCCTTCTGTGACAGAAACCACCTGCGTAGCATGAACAAGGTCTTGGTCTTCTTGCGTTACAATCACATCCAGAAGATATGCTCTTGATAGCGTAGCTCTAATGGGAGTCTTTGATCTTGGTTGATAGACGATTTCCGGGTAGTACTTCTGGTGACTAATGATCGTCTACCGCAGGCGACGCGGAACGGAGTGGAGTGTTTTGTTGGCTGTGGATACCAACAGTTTGTGGTCAGTGAATTCGGTATACAGTTCGGCGGCGGAATGTCTACTCATTAACGCGCTTCACAGCATACATCGGCGCGGTACTTTCCTTTTCGATTTGACTATAACGACGTTCGGACTCCGTTAGCGTTCGGCTGCGGAAATCAATAGGCTTTCCGTTTTGCATTGGCATGGCACCGATGCCGAACCGGCTACTGTTACACTGGATATCAAGGAAAGTAAGGGATCATGGTACGCTATGATGGGGACGCCTGTGATCAACTGTTTAATCTTTTGTAAAGCTTTCTCTTGCTCTACGGTCTACTGCCAACTTTCGTCTGTATGTGTCAGTTTCCGCATAGGAATCATTACTTCAGCTAGTCCGAGTAAAAAACGGCTGAGATAGTTCACCCTCCCGTTCAGCCTGTTCATAGCCTTCACACAGCCGTCGGGGTGGTATCTCTCTTATGGCTCTGACTTTCTTTGGATCTGTCTTCAGCCCCCCTTTTTGAACTTAAAACGTGTCCGTAAAAAACCGCTTCGTTTTACGCAACTCAAGCTTCTCACGTTTCAGTTTACTTTCCCTGATTGCACAGCACTGTAGCAATCTGTATACATTGCAGTCATGCTTTTCTCCAGTAACTCCGAAAACTAGCACGTCTTCTGTTATACACATAATGCCCTCGGCAGGTCGTCTATTGTTTGCGTAATGCGTTTCCAAAATATTTCACTGGATACTTTCAAACCAATGGTAGGTGCAACCATTGGCAGCGTTCAAATGGCGTTCCATGCGTGGTTAACTAGCTGGACTTTTCGACAAGCTTAATGTGCCCGAAAGCAGAAGCGAGGTCAAATTTTGTGAATAACGGCCTTGAGCAATACCGGTTGGACGTCATCTGGCTTTGGCATCGTGAAATGTTCTCTTCTGAGCGCGGCGTTTAGTATCATGGGATCGACGCACAAGCGTAAACCACTTGTCTGCTTAGTGACTACCGCAACCTGACTGACCCAACCTATTGATTCATTAACCTTGGCTAACACCCAAACGGATCAAGCGCTGCAACTCGTCTAAGAACTTCTCACGCAAAACCATAGGTACTTTCCTATCTGGCAATACTACTGGTCTCACCTATTCGTTTTACGTCAGGTGAGCTTCCCCCTGAACTTTCACCACGACATCGGCAAACACACTAAGATACTTGTCTATCATCTGTGTTATTGTCACACGAATGAACAGAACGGTCATGAATAAAATAGACGAAACCCAAAGTCTCAATGGAATCAAGGCCCAGCATGGGCACAACATCTGCAGATACCAGGAAGAATTCGAGCAAATGTTATGATCCATACATTACCGTAACACGGCCCTTTCGCTGTAACATTAAGCCCTTCCTGGGCAACCTGACAGTATTCTGCCCACGCAAAACAAGTAATCACTCTTCAAACAAATACCTGACGCTCTGGCCACTGCAGAAGATAATCAACGGTGCCCTATCTGCTGCATCGAGCAGGGTGGATAGAGGTTTGGATGCTACTGCTCAAGCCTTCCCGTCTTCTCATTTTCCCTCCTACGCTTTTCCCCCCTATGGTCCCGTTCCAACTTCACTTTTATCCCTCCAGTTTTCAACCCCCGATTCTTGGCCCTTCCCAACATGCTTTGCTAGGCGTTTATCTTCTAGCTTAAACTCACATGCTAACGCCGAGCGTCACTCCGTTACGTGGATGACACCTTTCTTTGCATAAAACGGGATAAGAAAGACGAGTTTCTAAACCGTTTGAACACTCTTGCGGAGACCAGACATTTCACTATGGAATTGGAATCTGGCAGTGGAACATTGCCATTCCTTGACTGCTTAGTTCACAGGAATGGAGGTAGTCCAAAAACAAAGATATATCGTAAGCCGACGGAGAGAGATGGTGTATTCTACTATAGTGCAGGTCGCCCAAAGCATGTGTATTCTGGAATCGTCCCATCACTGTTTCACAGAGCCCAGACTCTGTGCACAGAGGAAGTAGATAGGAAGGCCGCGCGGAAAAATGCAATGAATTAATTGCTTGGTAGTGGATACACGAGGCGGATGCCCGTTGCAGCGGATTTTAAATCCTCAACCACGGTGTACTACCGAGTGGATTGGGACGGTAGATATTCCTTATAAAGATGGAAATTCAGAGGCCATCCAGAGGGTCTTGAATAAAGAAAACATAAGCTTAATTTTCCGGAAAGGCCAAACGCTCCGCTCTACACTAGTGTGCTTGAAAGACCGACTTCTCGCAGATAGGACAAAAAATTGCGTCTAAAAATTTGGTTGCAAGGACTGCTGCGCACATGTGTACATCGGCCAAACCGCGAGAGTGCCAGGCACAAGATAGCGGAACACAAGAGACGCATAACACAGCCACCGATTTCATCGGCAGTCCTTCTCCACAAACACGTGCAGCGAGTGGTCTCTTAATTGGCATACACGGCAGCATGTAACCATCATTTCGTTTGATTTATACCTACGTTTTCCTGAGAGACTGAGCGACACTGTCAGCCTTTCATGTTACACCGTCACGGCCACTGTTAAACAAATTAGACAGCGTGCACCCCACTTGGTTCCTGCAATTGCTATCAAGACTGTGACGGGAGTAGTCTGTCAACGACAGCTTTTCCGGACTCATTTATGCAGAAGTAACATCTCATATTTTCACCGTCTAATTGTTACTAATGCTTATTTTGCTAAGGTGATTTATGTGAAGGTAACATTCAGTCTACAACAGCGTTGTCACTAACCCTTTTATCATTTGCTGGGATAACATTAAGCAACTGTCGAAGCGCCACCAACATTTGAACGCGGTAGCCAGTGCATTATGCACTGCTGTCCAGATGTTGCAAACCACCAGCCAAAAACGGCGGCAGCGACCCAATCTGAACTGACCGGTGTCAAAATCGCCGAGGGTAATTAACATATTTCAAGGACACATGCACAGCAATGCGTCCTCACGTCGTATTCACACCCCCAGACATGCGTGGGTGAGTAAATACAGTAGACTTACATGCCATTGGTGGGTCGGCAAATTAGTGCGCTCCAATCTCACCCAGTGTGACTGAGCAAAATCGAAAGACTCTTATCAAACGTACGGTATGTCCAAATATGATGAAGTTCAACTTACACCCCTCAAATCTGATCCCATGTGCGGATTCCATCTGATTTCCTGTATTTTGAGTACGAAATTGACGAAGGCTAACTAAATGTTGTGTCTGGCTCCGTGACTGTTTCCACGTACTAACGGTAGTGTGTACACGAACGAGCAAGAATGGGATTCAGGATCCTTTTCATAAGGAAACGGCATCGTTTTATTACATGAAGTTTAGGTGTATAAGCCAACCAGAACGCTAAAAACGTAGGAATAGACAAAACCAATAAGGATTGAACAACTAAGCATCTAATTGGATGCAAACAATGAAAGGAAAATGACAGTGCCAGCGTCATTGTAAATGTGATCAGTAACCAAAAACACCGAGCCTAAACAGTCAATGTGACTAACAAAATAATACGTCAACACAGACTTCAGTGAATAACCACAGCTAATCGAAAGTCTGTGCTTATGAGCGTCTACACAACTATACCTTTGTGCATCCTCTGACATAAAGACGATAATTGCTGTGTGAAAGTGATAACCAAGACTATTCGGAAACTCATCTTTCCCTAATGATGCTTTTGCAGAGGTGGCTCAAACATGTAAACGATTCCTTTCTGGACCTATTTCCCATCGTTGGTAAATCATTCCTAGCCTAATACCTTACCACATTACTTTGCCTCACAGCCCCTATCATCGGAAGCATGTAAACGCTATCTCTCTTCCTCGAACGGGATTCATCACCCCGGACAAATTAAACCGAATTTCACCTTACCCCACCGCAAACCCTCTGGAATCGGAGTGCTGGATGATGCCCATGAGTGTTTACTTGAAATCGGCTTGGAAACGCTGACATTTGACTTCCATCCTCTTTTCAGTTGGGAGCACTTGTATGCAATGAACCTACGCCAAGTGGTTACAACGTACGAAGCTGAGTTGGCTCGCGACCAAGTGAATGTGTGCGTACAACGGGTAAGCGCACGCTTGGTCCGCTGATGTATGATGTGTTTTGTTTCACACTCCCTAGCAGTTTCCACCCGATTCTACCAGCTACAGTCTTCTTTGAATGCGACTTTATATTTTATGCACGTTGGAGTATCCACTAGGGAAACGAGAAGCATTCACCCTTCCTAGTTGAGCGACGATGACCTGTTTGCCTTCCATTGATTACCGTCAGGAGAACCTGATGCTAAAACCACTTTCATACCTGGATCCATAATTTAATTGCTTATATGAAGCTTCTTCCAAGCCCTTATGACTCGTCCCATCAAACCCCACCATCGCAAATGTATTTTTCGAGACTCTTAGGCCGGGCAATGATTAATGGATATAGGAAACGCGACTCCTCGACTGTCTTCCCCAACTTGTTAAAAATTCCAATTTCCGCACCTTGACTTGCTGTGCTGCTCGTGCGAGTTAGCAATTGACGTAGCGTTTATCTTGCTCAACGCCAGACTTATAGCGCAGGCGGAACTTCCGCTACACTACTTACTCAGAGGTATTGCAAGTACTGGCCAATCGTACAAACCTCATTGTCTACCCTTTTTCAGGGCTGGCGAGCACTTGCTACTGTCTCGCCAAGCAGTATTTCTGTTACGCTCGAGTGAAATCAGAATCAACTGCGGAGCAATGGAACGATATCATAAGACCGATTAGGCATGCATGTGTACAAGCGTTTGGTAGGTAAGCAAACAGCAGTAGCGCCTGAGTTCTGAACTGACGTTTGGTTAGTCTGGACGAGGACGGGCCAATGGGCGCACTGAAGGTAAGAGACGAATCACACACACACACACGCGCGCTTAGGCTCTTTAGATTAGAAGCGCCGAATTATGTAAGTCACTGAAAATATTGGGAGCGGAATGTTTGGGTGCCACCAGATTGCGCGACAACTTTGACACACGTAACCAAGTCATCAGTATGGAAACAGGTACTACAAATTGATTTGCACTTTGTTGAACAGCCTAGTCAAACTAACTGCTAATGTGATCAAGCCGAGTCCACGACTGTCCAGATGAAGAGGGTCGCCGGAATCTCCTACATCAACTGCGAGCCTACCGACCTGTGCTTTTAAGTGCCCTGTTAGCACCACGATATTCATGCGGCGCTTCGTATGGAGAAGGTGAAAGAGTTGACGGTATAACTCGTCCTCAGCTTAGTCCGGGCTGCAATCCGCAGGAGCATACGCCATTACGATAAACAAACAGGGTTTGCTAGTCTTGCGGTTGGAAAATCGTACGGAGCTCTCTAGCCGAATTGCGCATAGTCGCCTGTTAGCTGAGATCCAATAAAGCAACACCGCTCCTGCGCGCCTAACCTAATTGCCACACCCGCCTGGCGCGCGGCCTCAGAAGTTGCGTCTCCGAACAAGCGTAATGGGAATGAGCTGTGGGAAATCACAGATGTCAGTCGCAGGGTTGCGTTATAGTGGCATAATCAGGTTTCACCAAGAGACATTCTAGAGTGTGGGCAAAAGCTGCCTGCTGTCCTGTTTGCAGGCGTGTACAGACATTGCAAACGACCAAGTTGAATTGGGAATGGGGGCTAGAAAGGTCATATCTTTATGACGGCGTGCCACATGGATTGTCTTGGACCTCTCATCAACATTCAAAGAACTGTCCCTCAAGGCGGCAGGTTGTTGTAAACCCAACATCAGAGGGGGATTCCAAGAATGAGGGTGTTCAGCAAACTTGAAACAAAACATGCAGTAGGTAATACGGTAGAGCACGATTTTACGGAGCCGGCCGACAGCAACTTGGTAAAGGAAAGTGAAGGCAGAAAGTGTAAATAGAGAGAAGATTTACGTAATTTCATGTCCATATGCGTTGTGTGGGCATAGGGCTTTCCGGTTGCCCAAGCCATGGAAGTGGGTTGACTTAGGGGACCACAATCGGAGAATTAGGTAGTAAACTTCTTACCCACAAGGTGGTGAGGCAATTACCGTAACTCGGGAACCATCGGGAGCCGGTAACATGACTTTCGAGTGGTAACAGACTACTCAGGTTTCCGAAACAACCAGAGTATAGTAGCACAGAGGCTAGAACACTTTTCCTGGAACGTCCAAGCAGCCGCTGCATGAGAAAACCGTTGACAGCCATGTGGCTCATGCGCCTTCTTAGTGTTCGGCAAACGTGCGAGCATTAACTGGAGGCCAACCAAGTTTTTCATTCGCTCTTCGTTAGGTCTTAAGCTCTGGTTACATGTGTAAGTTCTCAGCGACTCTATAGCCCTACGCTTCGCAAGCTTTTTGGGCCGTGGATCCCATTTTAGTGGAAACTCGCACGGCAGGTCCCCTGGAATATTGTTAACCACGGAACTGGGTTGTGCTAAAAGAAGAATGGGGCGGAGTGCACTGGTAGTGTTCAGTACGGTACAGAGGAAAAACGCCGGTGTTCAATAATGTTAGGAACAATGAGTGGTGCTGAATGTAGGTAGAAAGAAAGGATCTTTTCCAGTTAAGCCCCGCCAAAAAGTTAAGCCCCGCCACCCAAAAAGATTATGAAAAGGGAGGATATGGAACTTGAACTTTTACTCTCGAATGAAGAGGGTGAAATTGAGACAAGTCATTAATAATTTGCATGAAAAGGTCCATTTTTCGGTGTCTTTGCCTCCAAACGAACTCACACAGGTAGCTGTCCACTAAAGATCGGTGTGTGCCGCATTGGCGCTTATTCTGCATCTTGTAAATGTGCCAGAGAGATTCGATGGTTTGTGTGTGAGCTCCAGTCGTTGGATCCACAAAGTATTCGGTATGATTAACCGTTTGATGAGTATAACTCATGACAATCATCGGTTCAATGCATTGGTATGATGCCCACATATCGGAAATGATGATTGAGCCGGGAGCGATGCAGGCCTGGATTGTGTCCAGCAGAGTGGCCGCAGTTCGATCTGGCACTGCATACAAGAACACTTCTTTAGTCTTGAAAAGCACAAGTAGAGGACGAAGTTCGGCAGATACATGCATTTCGTATCGTCTCATCAGTGCCGATAACATTGCTTCTTTGAGGACCAGAAGACGTCTGGTTTCCGCCACACAGAGCACTTTCTGTGCTGCCGAAGTTGTAATCCTTGACCGAACCCATAAGCTACCGTTGCCTCCACTGAAGGAAACTCAGCCTATTGGCGCCAACTCCCATTGTGTATATCAATTCGTATGTAACTGCGGGGATAGTTACATATGCAGAACCAATAGAACACTGAGTTCCCGAATAAAGGAGCACGTACCAAAATGGGTTCAATGCGGGCTTAGTCAGCAAGCAAGCCCAAAGCAGACTACTTGTGTACGCAGGCCGCCAGCATCTTCGATCGGCAGGCACTTATTAACAACAGGTCATCGAATTGAGGTCAACAAGGCGTTCACAATCCTGCTTCGCCATACTAATTCTCGGCTCCTCCGATTTGCCGAGGCGATTGCCATTAGTCGGATTAGGCCAGTGCTTTGTGTTCAAAAACAATTATCGATCAGCCTCAGGCTGCCCTGGTTGTAGACGAAAGACACCTTTTTCTCGCGTTTGTTTATATGGATGTCTATACCCACAAACTGTTATATAAAATTACCGGTTATCGTTATCGGCACTGATAAAACGATACGAATTGCATGCATCTGCCGAACTTCGTCTTCTACTTGTGCTTTTCAAGTTACTAAAGGGAACTAACTGTTTTAAACTTCTTTAGTCTCCCGGCAAATCCCTCCGAAAATCCACTGCTGGGGAAGGACTCACCCTGCATGGATTTTACGACGTGATATCAGGGTTTCATCGATCTCGACATGTAGACCTGAGCCGCCGACAATCGTTGGAGTCTGCAAAAGCTGCCAGGCGCAAATTTCACGCAGAAAGTTCTTCCAGTCGACAGCGGTCGCGTGGCCAATAGATAACTCCTCTGAGCAGAATTTGATTGTTGTCAGATTTTTGGACCAGCAATAAATGAATAGGACTATTGTCCTGAAATCCATCCTAGACCGCTGCAGCCAAGTTCCCTTTCGAAGACCGATTTCTTGCCGACACTGTCGGGCATCACGCCTCCATCTGTCAGAAACAGTTGAAAGTGTCATTTGGTGTCCTCGTCTGCATAAACGTTGATGATGAATCAGTCCATGGCTTTGCAAAAAACGTATTGCTGTTTCCTTGTCATGAACGACCGCCGAAAGCGTCAGAAAGTTCATGTCAGGTTTTACATGCGAACGTAGAAACTTTTTGGACAAAAATGACCTTAGAAGCGGATAAGGAGTGTTTTTATGGGGCACGTTCACATGCATTACGTACACTGGAGCTGGCAAACAGTGGCGGGGCTCAACTTTTCACGCGTGCCCTTTTTGCACTATTGGTGAGGCTTGACTTCAAGTGTACTCTTTTTGTCTTAGTGGCGGGGCTTAACTGGAAAAGATCCTTATTTTTTAAATCAAAATGCCAGTTTGCTTATATTGTGTTGAAACAAGCTACTGCAGTAAAATTATCCAAATCTGCGCAAATGTAGATACCAACTAGAGTTCAGGAAAAGCCCCACTAATTCGGCCAAGAAGAAGGGAGTAAATTGAACGTCAGGCGATTACGGCCAAAGACAAATCGCCATACAAAGCACGAGTGTCGGCAGAAACCATAGTCCGCTTCCACAAAAAGTGCCTCCTAGCTGCCAACCATACAACTGAAACGATGCGTGAAAACAGATATCAATTACATGTGTGTGGTTACGAGGTGTCACGTCAAGTAGAAGACCGGCTTCTCAATTGTCTGTTTTGATACGCATCCTACTCAAGACAGTGTGTAGTCACTTCATACCATTGGTCATACAATTGCAAGGCGACGGCATTAAAATATCATGTTTCAAATCGCAACAAGTTTAATTCGGAGCAATGACAAAGACAGAACGCAATGTCACTGTACATCTAAGGGGCAGAGCTTCTTGTTACCTTCTAATCAAAGCACTCCTTTTTTCGCCAAACTTTCTGCCTGTGTCCAAGCTGACAAGAACAGGGGGTACGAAGTACATTTTTATCACTCATTATTACAAAGCTGTACCCGGGGTCAGTTAGTTTAATACTTTCAATGAAGCACGGGCAATGCTGATCTTCAGCAAAGCAAAAATTCCCGTTTTATTAATATGAATCAATATCAGAAATCATTTCAGGGTAAATAATTCTTTACGGTAAATCTCATCAGACCCAAACGTTTACATAACAGTGATTGTGGTGATAGCGTCAACTGGGGCTGGGATTGACTTCTTGACTGTTTGAATGACCAAAATCGATAACTTGGGACAGACATAGAGATGGTAGACCAAGTAAACTAAATAAACATGTGTACACAAGGCTCATTAGTACAAGGTAATTAAGTAGGTAAGATGACAGCCAAACAACTAAGTAACGGTGTCCGTTGGCCAAGGTAGTAATATCGGGCGTATAAATCGTTTTTGGACACATAATTCCGGCTTTAGATGGTGAATGTACATAGCCTCGGCGATGGATAAGAGCTGTTTGCGGAATCCTTAGGAGAAGTGTTCAGGTACTCAGTAAATGACTTTGAAGTCATTCTCTGAAGCTGTATGGCCACATTCAAGTAGGTGCGACATGCTAGAGCTGTCTGAAGACCTCATTTCAGATTTATACGGCCGATATTACTACCTTGGCCAACGGACACCGTTACTTAGTTGTTTGGCTGTCATCTTACCTACTTAATTACCTTGTACTAATGAGCCTTGTGTACACATGTTTATTTAGTTTACTTGGTCTACCACCTCTATCTCTGTCTCAAGTTATCGATTTTGGTCATTCAAACAGTCAAGAAGTCAATCCCAGCCCCAGTTGACGCTATCACCACAATCACTGTTACGTAAACGTTTGGGTCTGATGAGATTTACCGTAAAGAATTATTTACCCTGAAATGATTTCTGATATTGATTCATATTAATTTAATACTTATTTACAGCAATGTGCTGCACGGCTTATCTCCAAGTGTGCGATCCAATGATTCCATGCATCTTCTCCCATGTCACATACGTCTTCCGTTGCAGATCCGGTCACTGAAACGGGCTTTAGTGCAGTTAATGGAGAAGAAACAAGCACGCGAGGTAAGGCGTCAGTTTTTCTCTTTATACGTCTCCTGATATTCACCGCGACGCTGCGTGTGCAACAAAGAATTCGTAAAGTTAACGTTAAATTGGTTTGAATTTGTGTGCCCTGGGGAGATGACTTGATATGTTTTCGTAAGATTACTTGTATAAATCGTTTGGGTTCTCCGACCTACTATTTGCTTAGATATTTAATCAGTTTTTGTGTGCAATTTTCAGCAACCGTCTTATCCTTTGATCAGTTTCTCCGCTAATGTTTGGAGATGAAGCACAATGGCGATCGCCACACAAGAGCCATCGGGCTGTTTCCATACCATTGGATTGGAAACTTACAATCGACTCAATTCCTATGATAGTTTTTATGCGTGCAACACGCAATTTCCATCCGCTTCGGCTATGATCCCAATGACCGCAATGATGTTGCACGTTGCAATCCATTCATACAATGACTACTTCATGGTGACCCACCAAACAGTTTACCGTTTACTACGACGTTTGGAGCATAACATGAAATCTTTAACCTCAAATGTCACCCCCAATCATTGAAAACTAGTCTCTAGTACTGTGGTGAGATCGTGCATCGACACATTAGGACTCATCATGACAGCTGGAATCCCGTGTGCTGCTCGAAATGCATCAACTTTAGGAGAGGTGCATAACGTTGTCATTGTTCAACACAAAGAAATCCGGAAACTTTGAGCCCAACTTGGCCAACAAACAGGTTGTGTTGTTTGATTTAGCTTAGAGCCCATTCAGCAACCGGAACTGCCAATGTTCTAAGAAAAACAGAAGCCATTCGTTTACCTGCAAACTTGGAATGGGTGACGGCATCCAGTTCCGGATTTGCCTGTCACTGTGGCTTCCATAGGACAGCCACAGGACGCCGCCGCTTATAGAGGGATTATGGGTGTGGCTTGTGCTGCACCATCCACATCTCCATCCACGTACCCCAAATCCAGTGTAAACCCGAAGGAATGAGACTGGGAGGCGTGTGGATGGGAGCCACGTTACATCAACAGAGCCGGGTCACACTACTTCAACCTGCACAGCAGAAGCATTCATGCCTACTTGGGAAATAATGTGGACCAGAAGTAAACAAGTCGATGGTTGCGTAGTGGCCCATTCCACATTGGATGAATGGAAACACTTTTTGAGCCTAACGCGCCCACGAGAATCGTGCTCCCCGTCCCCTCCATCAACGATCAACTGTCTCCTAAAACCAGTATGGGCGAAGTGGTGGGTAGTAGATGGGCAAGCAACTTGTCACCATTCGCCTCAAGCGTAACCACATGGGGAAGATCAATTAACAGACAATTTAAATACTGATCTCTTCCAACCGAGTACTGATCTTCAGATACTCATTCAGAAGTCTGAGTGAATCATGGGGTACGCTGAGCTTCAGCAGGCCAAATATTCCCATTTCATTATTCATAATCAAAACCATAAATCGCATTATGGGTGAAGAATTGTTTTCGGGTGAAATCTCATCAGACCGATACCTTTACATGGTGAAATAGGACTGGAAGTGCCGTAAAGAGCTAACCGTTGAGCACAAGCAATTTGCAAGATAGATACAAAAGCCTTAAGTCATAGCTATGGATAAGGTACCCAGTTAACAAATGAAACAATAGATAACAATCGCTCGGAAAGAAAGGAGCTAGACTACCATAATGATAAGCAAATAGTTAGGTAACAGTGTTCGTTGGTCAAGGTAACAAAATGGGCCGCACATATTTCCTTTGAACAAACAACTCAGGCTTCAAGTGGCGTGGGTATATGCACTCTGCAATAGGGAACAATTGTTTGTGGAAATATCGCGAGTAACGTTTGGGTAATGAGTGGATCACTTTAAAATCCTTCTCTTATACTGCACTGCCGTATTCAACAAGATGTGACAAAATCGAGCTGTTAGAAGACTTCATTTCACCTATGTATAATCACATTAGTATTTACTCGCGGATCCTTTGAGATAAACGTCTCGAAAAGCGACCGACATATAGTGCACTACAGGAGCACGAGTATTGGTACACAATCATAGCTCGAGCCAATGAGGGTAGTTTATCTCTCAAGGGCCTGGCAAGCTGTGGTTTAGTATAATAAATTATTCTCAAACGAGCTGCAGGATATGTCTTTTCAAGAGCGTCTTTTAGGCGTCGGGATAACCCATCAGCGGGTGCAACGCCCTTGAGTGGTAAACGCATAAAAATTTCTTTCTTCGGAGTATTGCTCATGGGTGGCTTACGTTCACGTACATACATCGCAACTCCGTTGAGGTATGTTAGTAGTGGGCCATGTTCTAGCTTTGCCATAAAGAGATCAGCCCAAAGAAGTCCCAAGGGGCATCCCATGGCCACTCAATCAACCTGGAGGTACATTTCGACATTGAATCTGAACCGTACGTTTAAGGTGCAACGTAGTAACACCTCGGAGTAAACCTTTCGGAAAAGCCGCTTGCATATGCCGTTGAGCCAATTCGCACATATAGTCCACCGTTTAAGGCAGTGCATCGTTGCTAAAGAGTGACTAGACATCAAAGGATACCATCCTTTTGTCTGTAAGCATGAGGTTATTTACCTTCTTAACGAATTCGAAGAAATCTCTTACACAGTAAGTGTAAACCATTTTCCGCAAGAACATAAACAAGCAGGCACACGTACATAACAAGTGCAATGACGACGCTACACACTTACAACATAAACATCCTTATTGACCTGGGTCTGTAAATTAAATCGGAAGCAGCGAAATTGGCAAGCGCCGCGCTGAGGATGACTACACATTTAGCAAACACGTCTTCTCTTACTTGTTGCCTCATTGTACCGATACTCGTGGATTACCAAACCCGCTTGGCTCAGGCACTCGCTACCCCGTGTGCTACAGCGCAATGCGCTCGATGTCGATGAGCTCTCCACCATCGATGCCTGTCCCTTTCTCAACCGACGTATCTTTACAGCATGCAGTAGGGATTTCTTTTGCACAATGGCAACCACACTCTTGATATGCCCTCGCATCGGCGCCGAACCACTGCCATCGACTCCCAACACCTGAAATCAACATTAGTTCGTGATAAACTCACCTTGATCATGTCCTGGTAACGTAACTTCGGTTTTCCCACGTGCCGCTTCCCTGCACGCAGTTGGCCATAAAGCAGCTGCTTCGGTATCTGGGTCGAATCCATGCGGGGAACGTTCCCCCGGTACCTCAGGTGCTCCAGCAAAATTATGCAGTCCACTGCATACTACCCACGGTGTTGGAGCGTTTCCGTGTCTGCAACTCGGTCACTCCAGTCGATGCGCATAATATGGGGCAGACATTGTTGATGAAGCACTAGAGCTAACGGACAAACTTCCAATAAGCCGTCCAACATTCGGTGCGGTATAGAAGCACGGACAGCACCACAGACTTGTATACTAGCAACTTCATCCCAATAGTGAGCTGGTGGTTGTTCCACACGCGACATTACAGCTTGACACAATGAACAATGAACAATAATTTATCATGGGATAAAATCAAGTGCTTAACACGTCCCGTAGGATGGCTGGGGTGAATATGATGAAATGAAAATAAATGTAAGTCATCTACCGAACGTCTGCCGAGATAAATACTTTGATAAATAACATCAGTGTAAACTTTAAAAATGTGGAGCGTAAACGTCCAGAAATACACTGGAGTGCAGTGGTCGTCGATATAAGGCATGAGAAAAGGAAAATATGGTCACTCACTTGGGTGCATTTGATACATAAATCCTGTAGAAAAGTATGCTTGGCGTAATGCACAATTGAGGAGTTTAGATAACAAAGTGTTGGGAGCTAAGAGCAATATCTAATGGCTTCTGCGCAGCTCGCTCATCATCTGCAGGTCGGTTGTTATTACGCTCACTAGGTAGTACAAGCTCATTGTGGTTTCCAACACTTCGTCGGCAACCTGGCTTTGGTGCAGCCGGACGGACTACATTCCGGATGAAGGCTGGAAAACACAAATAGTCTTGCTTGTGTTGATGGTGAGTCCGGATTCGGCCGCTATCGAGGCGACAGCCGAATTCATGTGCAGCAAATCAACCGCGCTGTGCGTAAACAACGTACGGTAGACAGCAAAGAGCACGAATACTTGCGTCACACACTCGGGTTCTCACCTCGTAACAACGGGGGTTCAGCAATTCACCATTAACACGGTGTTCCACACGAACACTGTAATCACAAGCATTATCAAAATCATGAGACGTTATTGCATGTAAATGTGAAACAGTGCAGGAGCTAAGACAGTCTTGCTTCACACTAGACATCGTCATCATCATCATCAGTACACGTTAGCTGAGGGTGAGAAACACATCTCAACTAATGTGCCGCAATACAAAAGGAGAAGAGAATAAAAAAGTACACTACAAATTATACTAGAAAAATATATGTTAAATATTATATTATGCGTTTTGAATGAGCTCGGGATTGGAGAAAGAATCTAAAAGGAGGGTCAGAAGGACAGAGAAACTCACAAGACAAATGCCATTAAGGCCGGCTCTTGGTCATAGCAGCAAGTGTGTCCAACCAAACGTGTTCATCGTCCTTAAGAGTCCATCCAGGCATTCGGGATGCACCAACCGACGCCAACTTCGAAGTGAGGGTTTTCATGCATCTCCACCAAGTCATCGCCTGGCTTCCACTCTTCCTCTTCCAACCACACCCGCGGCGCGCAATAAATGCACGACACGGGAGTCAGTGTGCTGGCGTGCGCAACACTTGACCCAGCCATCGGAGCCTGGTGCGTGATATAATGGTGCTGAACAGTTCACTCGCTCTCCTTGCACCAAATACGCGACGTCGAACACGCTCCTTGCTCACGCGGTACTCCCACCAGACATTAGCTAAGCTGTGAAGGTAACGATGATCGAATGTGATGAGCCACTTTATGTCTGCCGACCTGATGGGCGAGAATTCACAAGCATTTAGGAGAGTTGAACGGACGGCTGCGTTATGAACTCTGCCCTTCAGGGCGAGAATAATGTAGCG